CGAGGGGCCTGGGGGTGAGGGGCGGCAGAGCCGCGAGCCTGAGTGGATGTGCACCCCTCAACCCCCGGCCCAGGTAGGGCTGGTGGGGGAGGGGGAAGGAGCCCAAACTCTCCGGGAGCACGGGGTGGCGGGGGAGGGGAGAGGATGGGGGGTGCTTCCCTCTTTGCGTCCCAAACAAAGTGTCACAAAGAGCTCGGCCCGCGGCAGCAGCGGAGGCGGCTGTAACTCAGCTTTTGTTCTCCTGGCCGGGGGTAGCTGAGCCTTGGCCTCCCTATCTCCCAACCCTGCCCCCCATCATCCTTCTGGCTTATCTTCCTGGGGAGGGGTCTGAGGTGCTGCTGGAAAAACCTCTCGGGCAGGATTGCAGGTCCTACCCTACTTAGCAATCTATTTCTGGGAGGGGGATTTTCCCAGAGGCTCCCTTGGTCACCCCTACGTCCCAGTCTGAGGACTGAGGCTCACGTGGGTGCGAATACTGACTTTTCTAGGGTCAGCTCTACTTAAGGGGACTTAGGGCTGTCTACATGACCCCCGTTGCCAAACCCAGGTCCTCCAGAACTTTCAAAATCAAAATCGGGGTTGCGTTAGGACATGCCTCTGGGATAAGATTCCCCATGGTGGGATGGCAGCAGGTGAGCAGGTGTGCCTTCCTCTTGCTTCCTGCTGTACCTTTGGAGTCCATGGCTGAGGTTCCATGTCTCCAACTCAGGAGAGTGAGGACACAGGGAAGGAGGCTTTACCAAGAACTCAGTCTAAAAAGGCTGGCGAGCTGCAGAGTGGAGTGGGTTTGGAGGAGCTATCTGAGCAGTGAGGTTCAGAGGGCCATGGAGAGGAGACCATAAAAGTGAACTACTGGTGTGTGTGTGTGATCAAGGTAGTCTTGACTGTAGACCGCCCTAGAAGCTCCCTTTGCTTTTAACCCCATCTAGTGCAGTGGTAATCATAATTGTTAGCAGATTCGGGAGGTGTAGGATTCTCAAGAGGGAAAACTGTTGTGTTAGAGGTGACCAGAGGCAGTTACAACTGGACCCCAGAAGTCCTGAACCCTTGCTCCTTACACTTTGACCCTAAAAACTTTTGAATCACAAGACTTGAGGGACAGTCTTTGTGTTCCATTTAGCAAATACTTCTATGTACCTGTCCTTGTTGTTTCTAAGTCTTTTCACCAACCATTCCATCCTTCTCTACTGAGTAAGGTTTAGTGATCCACACCCACTTCCCTACCAGCTGCCCCAGCATGTAAGGATAATTGGCCTGTTGCTTTCGAAAGGTTTCTGATACCTATCCCTGGCCCTTCATCCTTACAGAATCCAAATAAGGGCAAGATAACCCCTGATTCCCAGTGGGGGTGGAAAGTAGGTCAGTGCTGCTGTCTGGCCAAGTCTTGGGATGGTGTTTAAGGCCTGACTATAGAAAACTCTGTGATTATTGTCCAGGGCAATATATGCATGACCTCGGTTCCAAGGCAGTTCATAGTATCCCAGTCCCTGTCAATTCTTTCCCCTACTGAGAAAAAATCATGGGATCAGGTATCTGGAACCTGGTTTGATATGGAGATGATTCAGGAGATCTTGATTGGGCCTAGGAAGGTATCTCAGTGAGTTTTGTTGATTTTAGGCCACCTTCTGGGGAAACTTTCCCTGCTGGGGAATTCAGCTTCAGTTTGGGCCTTCTTGTATATCACTCTATTTCTGTTCTGGAAACTGCTATGTGCAAAGTGGTTTATTGTTGTTTTGTTTTGGGATAGGAAGCTTTGCCCTATTCCCACTCTTCTTGCCTCAGATATGAGGCCAGCTTCCTATGAGATTTTGCTGGCTATCCTACAGACAGTTTTATGGGCCCTAGAATCTTCTCAGAATGAGAGTATGTGCCCATAGGTTAGTCAGCTATGACCATGCAGTATTCCCAGCCCCCCCGCCTCCACCATCTGCTTCCTCTGAATATACCAGATTGGCTGTACACCAGGATGTTCCGGGAATCCCCAGGAGAGCAACAGAATGTGATGGACCCAAATATGATGCCTCAGTAACTCATTCCAGGATGTACAAACTGTAACTGTCAGGATGCTCCTTATAGCTAATTAAAATTCTTCTAGTTACATCTATTTTCTATTAGCTCTTTCTATTTTCAGTGACATCTAAAAGGCCAAAATAATCCCTCTGGTACCACTGGGTTTTTTTCTATGGTTTTCAGATAGGAACGAAAAAAAAATGCTCTAGCTTTTCTGTGTTGTATCTGTGATGCTAAAATGGCAAAGAGCCCCTCTAGCACCTCATAGCTCTATCTATGGTACTGAGGTGGCCCAAGTGGCTTCTGTGGTAGCCCACTGCACTCTCCATGGTACTGAAGGGATGACCATTTGTTTTAACATCTCTCTGGGGTCCAAAAGAGTTCTATGACTTAGAACCACAAACTTTTTTTGAGCAGGAAGGGAGTAACAATATAAATTAGTCCAATCCCCTTATTTTACTGATGAGTAAACTGGGAGGTTAAGTGATTTAGTAAGGGTTGTAGGGTTATCAATGTTCAGACTAGGCCTACAATAGCCTTGTACCCCTCAGTCCTATTCTAATTCACCTTCCGTGGCACTATTCAATAAGCCTAGCTAGGCTCTTAGTCCCAGGAAAGGATCCAGAGGATGAGAGTGGGTGCCCTAATTTGAAGCTACAGAAATACACATATTAAGTGATAGTGGAGGTCGTCTGGTGACCCTTGGACAAGGACACTTTGTTAATTATAACAACTGCTAATAATAATCCTATAGCCCAGATTCCACATGTAACAGGTACCTGCCCCTTCATGGAGTTTTACCACATCCACTAAATGTCAAAAATTAAAGAAGCCTTGGACCTCCAGAGCCTTTTCTCTCTGCTGACAGGCAGGTTGACTCCTGGCCCAGTTCTTTTCTATTAAAGATCCTTAGGCAAAGTAGTGCTTGCATCTTTTTCTTTCTCAGTAACCCATTTCAGTTTCGTGATGCCTATTGTAAGGAAGTTCTTTATATCTCAAATATTCTTTCCTAGACAAAAAAAAATATGGTTAGGCCCACATTCATTTAGTCTTGACCAGATACCGTTCTCTGTATGAGGCAGAAAGGTAGACTAGATGACTCCTGGTCATCTTCCCAGGCCTATTTCCATGAATCTTGATTCTGGGGTTTCTTCTAAGTCCTCATGCTAAACTCCTCTGCAGCTTAGGATCAGCACCCCCCACCCCCCCCCCATCCTCTTCCTCTCAATGATCTCCTTCCCCAGCACTGGAGCTCTACAAGTCCCAGGCCTAGGGAATTTTAGCCTGGAGAATTTTAACCCCTTCCTGCTCAGAGCATGTGCTGAGTCCCTATCTGTGCAGATGGCCCAGCCCCGCCCCCCGTCCCTCACTCCAGCCTCTTGAGCTCAGAGCCAGTGTAATCCTCCTCTTGTGTGAGGGAGCCTCTCCCCTGCAGAGAGGAGGAAAGCCTGCCTCGGAACAGCCCTGGACAAAGGGGCTCAGATGCCCCATCATACTGCAGGCTCCAAGGTTTGAAACAAGGGGATGAATCCTATACGGTATTTGCAGTTTTTAGCCCCTTCCCCAGGCTAGCTGTGCCCCTTAACTTCCACTCCTCCCCCAACTCTCTCTTCATTCCCTCTCCCTCTGGCTCCCTCCCCCTCATGCCCCTCCCCCTCTGTCTGTCTTCAGACTCTGCTGCTGGGAGGTGTTTCTCTCCCATGCATGAATGAGTCTCTGTAATGAATGGAAATGAATGGATCAGGAATCCAGGCGGAGGGAGGGAGAATGAGGGGGGAAAGACAGAAAGACAGGGTAAGGGCAGAAGGAAGCACTGTGGAACCTGGAAGGATGTTTGGCTGGCTGGTCAGTTAGGGGTCTCAGAGCAACTGATCCCATTTGGATAACTGGGGAGCATGGCAAGCCCACCCCATTTGCTCACCACACTGCATAGCCCAACCTACATGGGAGAGGGGCATACTGTGATGGTCTTCCCCACCGCCAGGGGGTGGGGTGGTAGTTGTGGTTGTTCTGGACCATGCATTTAAAATGTAGAATTTCGGGAAGAAATCTGGATTATTTGGGAGGCTTGTAGGCTTGGCAAATCAAGAGGTACAGTTTTTGAGTACAGCAGCCCCTTCGTGCCTCAAGATGCAAGTAGGGAGAAGGGATTGGTTTTGGGAATACAGAGTGCTGAGAGTCTGGGGGTAGGGAGTGACTTTACTGCTGAAAACTAGGGCTCATCTCTTCCTCCAAATCTGTCTCTCTTGCTTTAGCTCCACAGCACCTGTTGCCTTCATTAGCAGCTTTTCCTCCTCTTCCCTGCACTCCCCAGAACCAAAGAATGTGAAGGGGGTCCATGGAGGTGAGTGAAGCTCTGGCTTCAACCTACAAGTACCTACAACTGTATACTCCTTCTCCTGCCTACCTCTCTCTCTCTTTGACCTCCCATTATTAGAAGTTAACTCCTTGGTCCTGACATCTCGATTCCCATACACCCCACCCCCAACTTCCCGAGGTGAGTAGCACGTGTGTTCCTAGTTCAGGCCCCAGTCCACCTTCCCTCGTGTTGTCCTGGCCCTCGAGGTGACGCCCTTTCTTCCTTTACAGCTCTACCTTCACCCTTTGCTCTACGCAGATCTTTCTCCACAGGGCTCACGTCCCCGCGCCCCGAGCGGCCACTTAGCGCCGTCGCCGCCGGCTTTCGACGGCGAGCTGGATTTGCAGCGATACTCCAACGGGCCAGCCGTGAGTGCAGGGTCGCCCGGGATGGGAGCGGTGAGCTGGTCTGAGAGTCGTGCAGGCGAACGGCGCTTCCCCTGCCCTGTATGCGGGAAGCGCTTCCGCTTCAACTCTATCCTGGCTTTGCACCTGCGGGCGCACCCAGGCGCCCAGGCCTTCCAGTGCCCACACTGCGGCCACCGCGCGGCGCAGCGGGCTCTGCTGCGCTCGCACCTGCGCACACACCAGCCCGAGCGCCCACGTAGTCCTGCTGCACGCCTGTTGCTGGAGTTGGAAGAGCGCGCGCTACTACGCGAAGCTCGACTGGGGAGAGCCCGAAGCTCAGGGGGCATGCAGGCCACCGCTGCCACTGAGGGCTTGGCGCGGCCCCAGGCTCCTTCATCGTCCGCCTTCCGTTGCCCCTACTGCAAAGGCAAGTTTCGCACCTCGGCGGAGCGCGAACGCCACCTGCACATCCTGCACAGGCCCTGGAAGTGCGGCCTGTGCAGTTTCGGCTCCAGCCAGGAGGAGGAGCTGCTGCACCACAGCCTGACGGCCCACGGGGCTCCCGAGCGCCCCCTGGCGGCCACCACCGCTGCGCCTCAGCCTCAGCCTCAGCCTCAGCCTCAGCCTCAGCCTCAGCCTCAGCCTCCACCCCAGCCCGAAACTAGATCAGTCCCGGAGCCGGAGCCCGAGCCCGAACGTGAGGCAACCCCGACCCCAGCTCCTGTCGCTCCCGAGGAGCCCCCAGCACCTCCGGAGTTCCGCTGCCAAGTGTGCGGCCAGAGCTTTACACAGTCTTGGTTTCTCAAGGGCCACATGCGTAAGCACAAGGCCTCCTTCGATCATGCGTGTCCGGTGTGCGGCCGCTGCTTCAAGGAGCCCTGGTTCCTTAAGAACCACATGAAGGTGCACGCCAGCAAGCTGGGCCCACTGCGTGCCCCGGGGCCTGGCTCCGGGCCTGCCCGGGCCCCGCAGCCTCCTGACCTCGGCCTGCTGGCCTATGAGCCGTTGGGCCCAGCGCTCCTCTTGGCCCCGGCGCCCACCCCGGCCGAGCGCCGTGAGCCCCCGAGCCTCTTGGGCTACCTGAGCCTGCGGGCTGGCGAGGGCCGGCCCAACGGCGAGGGTGCTGAGCCCGGGCCCGGCCGCAGCTTCGGAGGCTTCCGCCCGCTGTCCTCTGCTCTCCCGGCCCGGGCTCGCCGGCACCGTGCGGAGGAGCCGGAGGAAGAAGAGGAGGTGGTGGAGGCCGAGGAGGAGACCTGGGCCCGGGGCAGGTCGCTGGGCCCTCTGGCTTCCCTGCATCCGCGTCCGGGTGAGGGACCGGGGCACTCTGCCCCTTCTGCTGGGGCCCCGGCAAGATCGACCACCACGCAGGGTATGTAGGGACCCTTCGCTCTCCGGGTATGCCGCGTCCTCCTCTGACTCTTACGCCGCCACTCCCCCATAGCTTCCTTTTTAAAATAACTTATCTTTTATTTCTTCTGAGTTTTTTTGTTTTGTTTTGTTTTTTCTGGAGGCTTTGCCATCATTTGAGAACACTTGACTCTTTAGTCACAACAAATCTAACCCCTCAGACTTTTGTTTCCTTCTGGACTCCGAGGGGAAGCAGCCCTATGGGGTGGGTGTGGGGTGGGTATGGGGTGGGTGTGGGGTGGGTGCACGGGACCTGGACAGAGTGTAGGCCCCCGCTGACTTCCTCTTAATATATGTGTTGCAGAAGAGAATGGGCTGTTGGTTGGAGGGACCCGGCCTGAAGGGGGCCGGGGCGCCACCGGCAAGGATTGTCCCTTCTGCGGAAAATCTTTCCGCTCAGCACATCACCTCAAAGTGCATCTGCGAGTGCACACAGGTGAGGGAGGCAGCTTCCGGCGTGGAGAGGGGACTGGGGGACGGGCAGAAAGGCGAGGGCTACCGAAACACCGGGAGGTGAAGTTTGTTCCGAAGCCTTCAGTTTGGCTGGATGAGATCACTTGGGAAATGCTCCTTTATTAAATCAAAGTGGGTGGGAGACGCAGTGCCCTTTCTTGGTTCTGAGAATGAGGTCTCTAAATTGGGCGAAATTCGGGTGGGTGCGTGCAGTGATCGTGACCCCATAACCCTTTTGCACCCACTTTCTCCAGGCGAGCGGCCCTACAAGTGTCCGCACTGTGACTACGCGGGCACCCAGTCCGGCTCGCTCAAGTATCATCTACAGCGCCACCACCGGGAGCAGAGGAGCGGGGCCGGCCCCGGGCCACCCCCGGAACCACCGCCTCCTTCCCAGCGGGGTTCAGCCCCGCAATCTGGAGCCAAGCCGTCTCCACAGCCTGCGACCTGGGTGGAGGGTGCCTCAAGCCCCCGGCCTCCTTCTAGCGGTGCTGGGCCGGGGTCCCGTCGGAAGCCCGCCAGCCCTGGGAGGACCCTGCGCAACGGGCGAGGTGGTGAGGCCGAACCCCTGGACCTGTCCTTGCGGGCAGGGCCGGGAGGCGAGGCCGGGCCGGGGGGTGCCCTCCACCGCTGCCTCTTCTGCCCTTTCGCCACTGGAGCCCCAGAGCTCATGGCCTTGCACCTTCAAGTGCACCACAGCCGCCGGGCTAGGGGCCGCCGGCCACCCCAGGCTGACGCGTCCTCGCCCTATGCCCGAGTACCATCAGGAGAGACCCCTCCCAGTCCTTCGCAGGAAGGGGAGGAGGGCTCCGGGCTGTCCAGACCCGGAGAGGCAGGGCTAGGGGGGCAAGAACGGTAGTGAGCCCTCAGGGGCGATTAGCTTAGTGAGCTTACCCCGCCGGAGCGGGGGAGCGCTAGAGGTAGTTGGGTAGAGAAGCCAGCAGGGGGCAGCGTGGGACCCATATCCCAGCCCCAGGCGGACCAGAGGTGGAAGGGGCGGCGGGCGTAGGAGGGTGGGCTGGCGGTACCCACCCAGCCCAAGGGAGTCACAGTGCCTTAGAAGTGGCAGAGGTGAGGGTCAAAGAACGGGGTCCCTGGGCTGGCAGAGAGGGTTTGTGTCCCTGTTGAGGAGCCACTCTGCCAGTCTTTGCTGGTCCATAGGCGTGAGAGTTTATTTTTGTACAAGGGGTGAGGGTGGGGAGCACTGTACCCTTCTAGCCCCATCAGGGGCTCTGTAGACGTCGCTATTTTTGGTACGATTCCTGTCATCCCTGTTGCAGAGTCGTGTCCCCAATAAACAGGTGTCGTGAGGCACAGGGCCCTGTGTCTGTCTGCCTACCTATGTCCTGCTCCTCTCTTTGGGCCCTTCTGTCAGGAAATAGTCACCTCTTCAGACATTTACTTATCACCCAAAGAGTTTGATAAGAAATGTGGAATATTAGGTTTCACCCCCAGGTTTCAATGCAGCAGCTCTGATGGGGTCCGAGAATCAGCATTTAACAAATAGCCAATCAAGTTCTCACACACTGTGGCGTGAGGGCCTCATTTTGAGAACTGCTGGACTGTGCTGCATCCCAGTTTGTGTGTGACCAGTTCAGCCTCAAGGAGTAGGTGCAGTGTGGGAGAAGGAGCTTCAGAGAGTGTCTAGAGCCTCTGGGAGCCACTGTGGAGGAGACACATTCTCCCAGGCTCACACACAGTCAGCTCTGGGCCTGGGAAGGGTACAGGGGACCTTCCAGTCTTGGTTTTATTTTCTGTGTTCTAGTTAAGGGCTGGTTGAGGGAAAGTGCTCAAGTTATTTATCACCTTAATCCAGAGGACTACTCTAGCTCCTTGGAGGCAAAGTGTGAGTAAATACATTTAATATAACAATAGTAGTATAATAACAGTAATTACATATATAAAGTCTACAGTTCCCTGTTGCACCCTCCTATTATAGTTTGCATAGCTTCTTTCTTGTGACACCTCAGAATGGAGTCACTGGGAACTCCGGTTGACCTGGCACAGATGATTCTTCTCAGGGAAAGTCAAGGGGTGAGAAAAGAGGAGAACATGGGCTGCCAGGGAGGGCTGGCATGGGAGTGATGTCCTGGATACAGTGGCCCAGGATGGGAAAGCACTGGAAGAGGGATAACTTCCCCACCTCCAGGGTATGAAGGCAAGCAATGTGGCTGCTCTGGCTCCTGCAGGAGAAGGCACCAAGCTAGGGGGACTAGAGATAGTGGTGGCAGGGCAATACTCTGGTCCTTAGACCTCCTCTGTGTCCAGGAAGCAGAGGGAAGAAATTCAGTGATCGCCCAGTGCTCCATTATGCCCCACTGCCATCCCAGCCCAAAGTGTGCTGAGAGGAGAAGCTGCAGGCAAGTTCTGGATCTTCTCTAGAAGCCAGGAGAGAAGAGGGAGATGAGTTGGGAGAGGGAAGAAGCAGACTCCCGAGTAGCTGGGGACAGGAAGGAAGGTACATGCAAGACGGAAGGAGTGTTGGATGTGGAAGAAATTGGGGATGCTGACTCACCCAGGTCACAGAGGCGTGGTGGGGTCACTCAGGGCTCGAGCATGGCTCTGGGGGGAGAGAAACTACAGTGAATTTAGGGACATATTTCTTGTCTTTCTCTCGCTTTCTTTCCCTCCATCCCTCCCCACGAGCCTGTCAGTTCATCTCTCTTTCCTACCCAAAGTCCTTGAATTTTGCTATTTACTTTTATTTTTTTAGAGACAGGTGCTCACTGTTGCCCAGGTTGGAGTGCAGTTGCACAAATGTGGCTCACTGAAGTCTCAACCTCCTGGGCTCACGAGATCCTCCTGCTTCAGCCTCCTGAGTAGCTGGGACTATAGGTGTGCACCCCTCAAAAGTTCAGCTAATTAAAACTTTTTTTTCTTTTTTTGTAGAGATTGGGTCTCACTATGTTGCCCAGGCTGGTCTTGAACTCCTAGGCTCAAGTGATCCTCTCAGCTGAGCCTCTGAAAGTCTGGGATTACAGGTATGAGCCACCTCACCTGGCCTGAGTTTTGCCATTTTAACAGAAGTTCAAGCCAGGCCACTGTCATTCTCCCCTTTCCATCCACCCCAGCACTATACTCCTTATTTAAGATTCCTTTTAACCTGTGACCTTGATGCCTCTTAGCCAGGTCCCGGGGAGAGGAGAAAGGTAGACAAGATAATAAATCCAGTCTATAGCCTCAGCTAGAAGCACAGGTTCACAGTTTTCCCCCAACCCCCCTGGGGTTGAAAGATCAGAAGAGCCCACCCAGAAAGCAGCCAAAGAGATCACCTCGTTCCCAGCCTCATTGTAGGAACTTACCTGCCGGGATAGCCCTAAGATCCCTCGACTGGCCAGGGTGGGAGTGCTGCTCCCAGGGTTGGGGGGTTGCAGGCTGGGGCTGTTTCTTGGTCCTGGGGACACATCTCCAGAAGAGTCAAGTGTTTCTGGGGCTGAAGGGGAAGCTAGGGTGAGAGCAGAGTATAGAATCCCTCCAGATTACCTTAAGCAACCAAGCTGCTCCATCAGGGAAGAAAAAGCTCCATAGCAACAGGAAGCTGTAAGTCACCATAGCGATCCAGTTGCAAGGGAACCCCCTACCAAGAGGCAGGAAATTGTCAGCAGCATCATTAGAGCAACCAGGGAAGAAGCGACAGGAAACTATAAGGATTGCCGTGGTGAACCAAGAGGGTACAACAGGAAGCTGAGGCAGTTTCCATAGAAACCCAAGGAGAGCTAGAGAGAGAGGTACAGAGGAAGTGCTTCTTAGCAACAGGCTGTTGTAAGCATCACCCTAGCAACCAGACGGAAGGTTCTTTTAGCAGTGGGGAAGCTGTACATAGTTGTCATGGCAACTGGGCTACTTGGCTAGAAAAAGGAATTGCTCAGCAGCAAGCAGCCTGAACATCACCACCATGACCGAGCTGTTGGGAGCCACCCCTTCAGAGGTGCCTCACCCAGGGAAATTTGCTTGACGTCCAGATCCCAGGCCTCCTCCTCGACGCGGGCAGGCAGGGAGCAGGCTCCCGGCGAAAGGCCGGGAAGGGAGGGGCCGGCATGCTCAAAGGATGACACGGCCACGGAGGCCCGGGTGCGGGCGGCTGCAGAGAGTGGGGAGTGGGGGGTGGGGTGCTGGTGTGGGAAAGCCCTCTTCACTCCCTGGAATGACCCTCAGTCTCACAGAGGGCCTCCCAGCCAGTCCCACTGATTTGGGAACGAGATGCCCTTCCTGACTTTCCACCACACCACCCCTTTGTATCCTCATTGTCAAGGTCTTCACTCCTGGGGGCCACCCCCCAGCACCATGGCCCTCACCTCTTCCAGTGAGCAGGGCACTCAGCGTCCGCTCCCCAAGGGCTTTGATGTCCAGGAAGGGTTTATTCCCAATGCCCATGGACACCATCTGCTGCACTCGGAGCTCTGGGGAATAGGGACACTTGTTACCAACTTCTTCTTGCCCTTCTCTCTAGCCCAAGCACGTCATGGTTTACTTTTTTGGTTTGTTTTTGTTTTTGTTTTTGTTTTGCTCCTTTCCAACCCTCATTCCTCCCTTTCATTCCTCTCGTGTCTCTTTTTACTCCTCCTGTTGACTATCACAACATGGATGGCAATGATGGTGTGACTTCCTCCTCAGATATCTGGCTCTTCTCTCCAGTATGTTGCATCCTGCCCATTTGGCATCCCAGCTGCCTGATTTCTACTCTGCATCTTGGGTATTAAGAGCAAAAAAAAAAAGCAAAACAAAACAAAAAAACCCTCACATTTTTACATACTTTTACAGTTTACAAGGTGCTTCCATATATTTCACCTTACTTAATCATCCCTATTACACTAAGATGAAGATATTACTATTTCATTTTTCAGATGAGCAGAATGAATTTCAGAAAATTAAAACCAAGGTAAAACCCAGCAAAAAGTCAAAAATAAAAACAAAACTAACAAAAAACAAAACTAGTCCAGGTTACACAGCAAGTAGCAGCAGTTCCTAAATCCAAGTGAGTGGTTTCTCACCTTCTTTTTCCAGCCATTTGCTTTATTAAAAAAAATTTTTTTTAATCCTTTAAAGACAGAGTCTTGCTCTGTCACTCAGGCTCAAGTGCAGTGGCACCATCATAGCTCATTGTAGCCTTGAACATTTGGGCTCAAGTGATCCTCCTACCTCACTCTTCAAATAGCTAGGACTATAGGTGCACACCACCATGCCCAGTTAATTTTAAACTTTTTTGTAGAAATGGGGTCTCACTATGTCCCCAGGCTGGTCTTGAACACCTGGCCTCAAGCAATCCTCCCACTTTGCTCTCTCAAAATGCACTGGGATTATAGGCGTGAGTCACTGCACCTGACCCCTACTTGCTCTTGCTTCCCTGAAATTTGCCAGCTTTCTCTTTCTTTTTGGTATATCTTAGGCTTATTTCTACCTCAGTAATTTCTCTCAAGCCAAATCTTGAATCTTCTTCTAAGCCATTCTTTCTTCATCCTATAAACTGTCTTCCCAAGCAGTCCCCATACTCTCCAGAAAACTTCCTGCTATAACCCTGACTCCAAGCACCCTGTTCCTCAGCTCTGCCCAGTACCCTTGTTGTGGGCTGCCTGTCTCCACAGCAGCTGGGCAATAGAACTTGTCCACTTGAGTTTGATCTCTGGTGAGGTTGCCTGCAGAGTATATGCCTCTCGTGCACGCCGCCGCCGAAACCACAACTCGAAGCAGAGTCCGCTGTCCCCGATGTTTTCTGTCAGTCCCATGTCAGCAGTCTGAGGAAGAGCAGAGGGCAGTGGGTGAAGACAGAGCAAGTCCTGGCTGGGTGGCGCCACATGGCAAGCACTGGGCTTAGCCTGGCATCTGATGGATGTTCAGTAAACGTTTGCGCAACACCTATCATGTGCCAAGTGCTCTACATTTAGTCTTCACAACAACCATAATTTACAGAAGGGGAAATGAGGCCAGAAACATGAAGCAACTTGCACAAAGCTTCTCATAGCTTATTAGAGCTGGAAGTGGACCCAGGCCTTTTCCTCTATGCTACACTCATGCAGGGGGTACAAAGTCTAGAAACCCTTAGAATCCACCCCACACTGCCTGATCCAGGACCATAGGTTGCTATAAATGCTTATCTGGACATCAAGGCCGTTTCCCCAAAGCAAGGCCTGCCTCTTGTTGGATTCTTTAGTCAAAGTATAGCGTGCTTTCTCCTCATGCCCTAGGAACCAACCCTAATTCCAAAGGCATGTGTGTCCTTAGTGGGAAAGTTCCTCTTCCAGTCTGGTTTGGAATGCCTCCTAAGGCTTCCGCATGAATGATAAGGAAAACCTCATGAGGTAGACCAGTGACAGGGACTTCCAACACCCCCTGTCACCCTAACTTGATGGTCGATTACAAGCCAAAGCCTATTCTAGATGATGCAGATTCTCAACCTGTGTTGGGGTTGAATTTCCAGAACATCCTGAGTTCTCAAGAAGAGAATGACTTCCTGTCACCTCCACCACTCACTCCAGGAATTGTACCTTAAAGGCCTGCTTGTAAACAAACATCTCTGACCCTCCTTCAGGGCCCTTGAGCTTGCTGAACAGGAGGAGATGCTCAAAGAGAAAGACATGGCGAAGGCACTTCTTTCGGCCACAGATGACAGTGAAGGGGTCTCGATGCAAAAGCTGTCCCTGCTCCTTCAGATCTATCTGGAGAAAGGAAAAGCAAAAGTGGTTGGCCCAGGGGCCCTTTGTTTGTATTTTATAGGGAGCAAAAATAGATTTATAGGGCAAGGGGCCTAACGCACTGGTTCTCAGGCAGGGTCAGGAAGTCAGGGAAGCCCTCAGCCTAGAGTCCATCCACTGGTCACCATGCACAGCACACCCAGCTGAGCAGCACAGCCCTGTTTCTGAAGATGGCAAGGTGCACTGCATAGTAAGGTTTATAGCCGCCTGTGGGGAAGCCTTTGCATGCTGGGGATCCAGGAAGAGAATCAGCAAAGAACTGAAAGGGAAATAGGTCTATTCCAGAGGAGGATATAGGATTCCAACATGTTTTGGAACCTCAGGGCTGGAAAAAGACTAGGTAGATGAGATAAGGTATGTGCTGGGTGTTGAGGTGCAGGAGGAAGTATAGGGTAGGTGGGGAAAGATAACAATTAGGAAAGGAACGGGAGAGTACAAGGCGGATGTAGGAACATGGGATGTTGGGAGGACATAGCTTCTTTATTTACAAAGGAGGAAAGTGAGGCCCAGTGAAGTTCAGTGACTCAATCAAGGCCACCCAGCTGGTTAGAAATTAAAGCCTGGGGCCCTCTGACCTGGAGCCTGGTTCTCCTGTCACCAACCTACATGGCTTCTGAGGCCAGGGCTGGGCCGTTTGAGCAGCAGTGACTGGAGCCAGGGCCTCACCTCACAGCCACGCACCGCCTCCACAGCCAGCAGGTCTCTGCCACGGGCCTCTTGTTCCCGAAGCAGCTGTACAGCAGCCCCAAGGGCCTGGCGCTCAGAACTCAGCTCAGGCCCAGCTTCCCTCAGGAGCTCCTCCAGGAGCCGCCCATACCGAGCCAGCTGTTCCAGAGGCTGTTGCAGGGCTCGGGGCAGGTAAGGTCCAGCCTCCATGGAGCCCTAGGTTGAGGAGGACACAGACAGGGATGAGGGGAGGGCTGGAGCCTCTAGAGGCCAAGCTCAGGGGTTGGGGGGTAGGTGGGTGATACCCTAGGCTTTTGGGTATAGATGAAGCCCAGATGCTCCCTAAAGTAAGGCAAAACCCTTCCACCTGGAAAGAAAGCAGGTGGGGGCCTGCAGGCCAGCAATCATCGTCTATATCTTGAAGGGAAATGGAACAAGAATCAAAATAGTAATCTCCTGTACTCTCTGGCTTTGAACTTTTTTTTTTTTTTTCCTGAGATGGCGTCTTGCTCTATCACCCAGGCTGGAGTGCAGTGGTGCGATCTCAGCTCACTGCAAGCCCCGCCTCCCAGGTTCACGCCATTCTCCTGCCTCAGCCTCCTGAGTAGCTGGGACTACAGGTGCTCACCACCACGCCTGGCTAATTTTTTTTTTTTTTTTTTTTTGTATTTCTAGTAGAGACGGGGTTTCACTATGGTGGCCAGGATGGTCTTGATCTCCTGACCTCATGATCCGCCCGCCTCGGCCTCCCAAAGTGCTGGGATTACAGGTGTGAGCCACCACGCTGGGCCACTGGCTTTGAACTTTTAAAGTCACTTGTATGTCTTTTGATGTGAGCTCTTCTGCTGCTCAGATCCTCCCTGTGAGCTGGCTATAGTGACTATCGCCCCCATTTACCAGATGTGGAAATGGAGGCCCAGACGAGTCAGGAGTCCTGCCTGGTCCCTCAGGTGGACTGGATAAGAACCTGGCCTCACCAGTCCAGTGCTTGTCCCACCCTCGGCAATTCTAGGAGATGATTGGTAGGTGATGTTCCTGGGCACATCCAGGAAAGCTTTTTTCCCTGTGGGATTTTTGGGGTGGGTTTTCAGGTCCTCCTGGCCCCTCTACTTTTCTTCTGAAGATTGGAGAAAAAGTTACCTTGCTTGAGGGACTGAGCACAGCCAGACCATTCTCCAGTTTGTGTCGGTGCTTCACGTACTGTGCATAAAGGCTGAACTGGTCCCCCTGTGCCAGTAAAGAACAGATAAGGTGTCTCCAGCGAGGTCTGTGCAGACAAACCTCTCTCTTCCCCCTTTCCATCCTCTCTGTAGCCCAAATGAGGGATGGGTCACCAGGGAGCACTCTGCCTGCCAGGGAGGGAAGGGCTCCCTGTGGAGAGAGCATAGTCCAGGCAGCCCTTGAGAGCAGGGACACAGAGGCTGAGTAGAGGCAGAGGTGCCCACAGAACAGGGCTGGGCCCCAGTGGCATGGACCATACATGGGAGGAGAGGGCTGTGGGTACTGAGAAAGAGGGACAGATGGATGAGGCTGGAACAGAGAAGAGAGAGCACTTGGAAGAAGTTGAGGGGATCACTCACATGGCGAAGGAAGCAGGCCCCAATGCGTAGGGGGTGGGTGGCGCAGCCCTGAAGCTCCCGCAGAAAGTGTGTCCGGTGAAAGCTGCGAAGCCTTTCCCGGGCACTCAGGGCAGCAGCCCAAGTGCCCCGAAGTTCAGGAGTCAGCTCAGGCCCAGGGGGTGGCACTGGTTCACTCAAGGTGGCCACGTAATCTTGTTCACAGGCAATCAGCTCAGACACCAGACGCTGCTGGGCACTGCAGGCACAACAGGAGTGGCAGAGGAGGTGTGGGAGGGAGCCACTACCCCCAACAATATCACCTTCTTTTCCTACTGGGCAGTTGGGTCTGCCTCTTGGGCACCAGTTGGGCTGGGATCTCACCTGATGCTCCGCTTGCGCTCCATCCGGGGGGTGCCTACTCCCCAGGGTCCGTCTGGCCCCCCAGCCCGGCCCAGCAGCACGTGTTCCCGCGGTGAGCATGTCCTGTCTACCACCTCAGTGCTGGTGACCTCCAGGCCTCGAATCAGCACAGCCCGTGGGGGCCTGCCCTCTGCTTCTGGAGCCAGCTCAGGGCCTTCCTCCTCATAGTCCTCTCCACATGGGGCCAAGGAGCAATGGGATGGGGCTGCCCGTGGCCCAGGGCTGCTGGGGAGCAGCAAGGAGCTGAGGCTGGGTGAGGGGCTGTGGGGGCCCCACTGGGCCCCTCCACTGCTGGCACTGTCTGCCCGCCGTCGTCGGTAGCCCCGTGGGCTCGCCTCCTCTCCCAGGTGTTGCTGAATCCTCCTCTCCAGCTCTTGGCAGCGGGCCCGGCAGCGGCCCCATTCTCGCAGGGCTGCTGGGTTGCCCAGGTCCAGGGCCAGGGCCCGCATCTCCTGGAAGGTGCCGGCACTGGGCTCTGGGGCCCGCCGCAGGGCCAGTGCAGCCAGCACAGCCTCCCGACCTGGCCCAGCTCCTGCCAGTCGAGCAAAGCCCTCATCCACCCATTCATGTGCCTACAAAATCAAAGGGGTTGGGGATGGGAGAGAAAGGGTAAGGGCCTGTGTTGCTCACAAAGGATGCCCAACGACAGCCCTTGTCCTCTTTCCTGTGGCTTCCCCATGCCCATCACTCTCCCCGTTTTCTCACTGTTCCAGCATCACTGCCTAACCATGTCACTTGGAGTTGGTATGGAGATGGAAGAGCCTATATAAAAGAATAACCAGTACTCATATGGCGTTTATGAGTGGCAGGCTCTGGGCTAACGGCTTTTATATATTTATTGCCTCATGTAATCCCCACAGCAGCCCTGTGAGGTAGATCTATGGAGGCACAGTCAGGTTTAGTATCTTGTCCCAGGTCATTCAGCAAGCAGGTGGCAGAGCTAAGAGTCAAAACCAAGCAGATGGGCTCCTCAGCCTCCGCTTTTAACAACTTGATTAGCCTCTCCAGGCAGAAAGGAAGTAAAGAAATGGAAATGGGGGGAACAAAAGGAAAAGGCTCTGCATGTACCTGCTGGAAGAAGCGCTGTAGCCGCAGGGCCCGATGGAGGCCACTCTCAACCTGTTCCAGCCGCTGTTCAAAGATATCCAGCACCTTCTGGGAGGTGGCATTCTCCTCCAGAGCCAGGGCCTCCCGTGCCTGGGCCAGGCGCTCCTGGAGAAGGGAGGCTGCTCTCAGACCTGGTCCTCACTCCTAGGTAGTCTCCCCCTGCCTCCTCTCACCTGCCCTCCTGCCCTTTCTCACCTGGACCTCAGCGCTGAAAGCCCGGAATCGCAGCTCTGTCTCCTGCAGGGCAGACAAGGTGTCCCCGGGCACAGCAAAGCTTGCCAGCTGCTCCTCCCCTGGGCCCGAGAGCCACTGCAACACCTAAGGCAGATGGAGTGGCAGAGTAGGGGGTCATGGAGTGGAAAGGCAAGGAAGGGCTGAGATCCAGCATCAGCCCCACCACACCAATCTGTAGAACCTTGAGTGAACAATTGCATCTCATCTGCAATGTGGGAATGACAACAGTGAATGGTAATAGTTTCCACAAGGGTCAAGTGAAAAACCGAGTAAGAAATCTTCAGTAAGGTGCCAGATGAGTGGGAAGCTGGGCTGGTGGAAAGTACTGAGGGAGGTGGGTCAAAGTTCCAGAGCTATGCCCGAGTGTGAAGTACATCAAACTGGGGTGAACCAAAGGCAGGATGAGGGTCATATGGATGACTGACGGCTTTCACTAAGCCTTGGCAACTGGTGGGCAAGGGTCGCAGGGACCAAGCCTGGAGAAACAGCACAGAAGGGGTGTGTGTGTATGTGTCCAGCTTTAATTGCCTATTATGGGGCTATACAAACTCTCATGCTGGTTCTGAGATATTTGACCAAAAAGTGATGATAATATTTTCCTCTGAAGAAAGGCTGGAAGCTAGGGGTGGGACAGCCTGAGGATGAGAAGTCTGAGACTGTTCCTAATAGCCAGTGCCAACAATAACCACTTTTATAGTCCTTTGCTGAATTCATTTGATCTTTCTAACCACGTTGTGAGTTAATTGTTACTATCCCAATTCTACAGATGAGGACTTGGGAACTCAGAGAAGCTTCATGACTTGTCCAACATCTTACACATGGCAGAACTAGAACTCAAGCTGAGCACTTTAGATTCCAAATCTTGTTTTTAACCAGTTGGGGAAACAGCTAATAAGCAGGTAAGCAAACAGGAGATGCAACCCATCTCTAGGATATTGGCTTAGAGGAAGCCAATACGAAGAAATCCTAGGAAACAGAAAGTCTCGGCTCCCGCTTTAGCACTGGCCTTGAGATGACCTTTCCTCTGATGTCCACCTGCAGGTCCATAAAGTGTCCACTCACCATGCTCGGGGCTAAGGAGGAACAATCAGATTTCAAAGCTCCCTCTACCTTACATGGTGTGGTGGAGAGCAAATCCCTATGGGGCTCTTAACCCCAGGAGAGAAGAATCAAGGTTCAGAGAAGCCAGCCTTATTCCTGAATCTTCCCCACAAAGAAGCCTGTAGTTCCTCTTAGGTGCTTTCAATGCTCTCTCCTTCCAAGGTGGAGGGAGGTGGTACCTTTCCGACCTCAGGTCTGAGGGATGACATCACATAAGGAGTTAAGGGTGCATGTGTGGCAGTGTAACTAATGAACTGGTATCAATAGACTTTTATTATTTTTCAGCTAAGAAGGTAGGCACTCCAGAGTTGATCAGCTCTTTTCAGAAGCCCCTAGGGCAGCTGAGCATCTCTCACAATCTCTCAGCATCTTCGATCAAGCATAAACAGTGGGGAGGGGGAGACCTGGCTTTTCTTTACTGGTGCTACGATGCTCCCACCCTCTTGTTGAATCTCACACTGACCAACAAAGGTGAGGAGACAGGGAGGGGCATTCAACCAAGCCAGGCTAGAAGAACACCATCAACTATAAGTACCAACGGGAAAGGTGCTGGAGGCCATACTCCCAGGCCGAGTAAGAGGGACATAGGAGTCCTGGCTCACCTGCTGGAGTCGCCGCAGGCACTGCCGCTGCTCTTGATGCTGCACGTGCAGGTTGGAGAGGCGCACGAGCTGGTGAATGGCCTCGTCCACTTCCTGATACAGTGTAGCTGGGCCTTGGCCCTCCAGTCTGGGGAAGGAGCAGGAAAGAATGAATCATTTCCTTTGTTGAGTCCCTCAATTCTGTCCTCCCATCCCTCCGAGGGATGCAAACATGAGAAGCTGCATAGCAGCATGGATCAAAAGCATGGGCTGAACCCTGACTGCTTTGGTTTGAATCCTGACTCTTTACTGACCGATGTTGGCCAAGACAGTTAACATTTCTGATCCTCCAAATCCTCATTTGTAATAGTAAATGGCACACAAGGATGTTGTGAGGGTTATGAGACAGTAAGTGTAAAAGCATGGTATCTTGCCCAGATACATGCACAGTAAGAATGGTCTGGCAGCTAAGGTTTGTTGGCAGCCTTCGGCTGTGTCTCCACCTCCCACTTCCACCTGCCCCCGCACACCCATCCCTCGTACTTGCTGCTGTGAGTGGAGCGCAGCCTCATCAGGATGGCCCCCCCATCCCTCTGCAGTGCCGTCAGCCGGGGATCTGCCAGCACCTTCTGCAGGGGCTTGGGCATTCCCACTGCCTCCTGGGGATAGGGAGCAGTTGCCAGTTGGGGTTCCACCAGAGAGTCTCCACCCCAGCCCCATCCCAATCCCATCCCCCCACTGTCCCATCTCATTTCATACCTCTTCCTCTGGCTCTGCTGCTCCCTCCAGCTCCTCAATGGCCTGCCGTACTGAGCCCAGCACACCTTGGCACAGGCGGCATAGCCTTACCACTTCCTGAAACCCACACGCAGGGATGGAGTTGAGGATTAGAGTTTAAGAAGGAACTTAAGCCCTAGGGTTGGGGTGAGGTAGCCCCAGAGACTTTTATGGAGGCAATGCTGAATTCAGTTCCTGACTTTGTTGCTAACTAATTGTATGATGTTGGGCAGGTCCAGAAACCTTCCTGAACTTCAGTTCTTCAACTGTAAAGTCAGGATAAGAAAGGCTTCTGTGATTTTTAAGGAGATGATGCCAGTTTAGCAACTAGCATGGGCCTGGCACATTGCACAGCTTGGTAACTGTGACCTTCCTTTCTCTCTGTCTTCAGTGGGGCTTCACCCTGTCAAACCCCCTCTCTCTGCCTATTCATGTCAATTTCCCCTTTGACACTAAAGGCGAAACTTAGAGACCATCTACAGACCCCTCTTTTATACTCAGCTCAGATCATGTTTATTTCTCTCTTCCTGAATACTCACAACACTTATATTCATAGAATTACATGAGATAAGTGCTGGAAGGACCTTTAGCAATTATACTGTGATTGTTACACTTCACTGATGAAGATCCCGAGGCCTGGATGTTGGTGCAAGGAGCGGGTACAGAAAGGGCACTATTTCTGCAAGTGAGGTAAAGTAATTTGGAACAAGAATCAGCCTTTTGACTCAGTGCTTTCCAGAAACCCAATGACACTATCTTGCACTCTTCTCTACTTGTTTCATGATTTATCTCCCAGCAAAAATCATGTACTACTTAATGTCATATTAATAATTTATTTGGCTGGGCACGGTAGCTCATGCCTGTAATCTTAGCACTTGGAGAGGCTGAGACGGGTGGATCACTGGAGTCCAGGAGTTTGAGACCAGCCTGGGCAACATGGCAAAACCCCATCTCTACAAAAAAAAAAAAACCAAAAAACAAAAATTAGCTGGGTGTGGCGGCACATGCCTGTAGCCGCAGCTACTCAAGAGGTTGATGTGGGAGGATCGCTTGAGTCTGGAGGATGGAGGATGCAGTAAGCTGTGATCGAACCACTGCACTCCAACCTGGGTGACAGACCGAGACTGTCTAAAAATAGTAATTATAATAATAATTTAACATACTCCTCCCATCTCCCCAGTAGACCATGGCACAGTGCACATGTTTTCCTCATGATTTGGGAGCCATAAATACTTGTTGAATTGAATGGAATGGAAACCACTTTTTTGCAGCCCCATGGTATGTCCTGGACCTGGCATCTGTCCTAGAATGTCTTCAGCTGGGCCATTCCTGGCTCCCAGGATGCTAGGTGTTAGAGGGGAAGCTTACCTGGTGTATCTCTACCCAGTGACTGGGAGAGGGGTCCCTGTGACCTCCTAACTCCCACTGCAGCTCCTCTGGCATGGTCACTCTTTTCAGATCATTCTCTGACAGCACCTCAGCACCCTGTAGAGGGTAAGGCAGGGGTTTCTTCCTGGGCACCCAAGGACTCAGAAACCAGCCTGGGGCTCCAGCCAGCTTCTTCTCCTTTCTCCACTACTGATGGGAAACTAGGTAGGAATGAAGGGCTCAAACCTGAAATCCACAGAGTTCACTTGGAAGGTCATCGTGAGTGAGAATCAGCAGCCGCTGAACGAGGGGAGGATCTCCTGAGTCCTAAGGGCAGAGAAGAATAACCCTAAACTGGGCAATTGGGTGTCCTGGACTAGCCACTAATGAAGTTAGGATCCAGGGGAACTGCCTGTTCAAGGGGTGGTTACCTGAAGTTGGCTCAAGACAGTAATGAGTGCTGGAGGCAGTGAAGGTGCCTGGCGAAGGTCCAGCAGGACGGAGAGCCCCAGTGTCTGTAGATCAGGCCTGTGGGAGCAGGAAGAGTCAAAGAGGCTGCTGTGTATGTGTTTTGGGGGATAGGAGATAAAGCAAGGCAGACATACAGGGTCTGTATTTAGTTAATAGTCCTCAGGAGATATTAGTTGCTGGTACATTTGGGAAGAAATGGGCAAAGGGCCAGATTCTGGGATGGGTGCACAGGAGGAAGTGGCCTAGCAGTTGGGAGTCTATATTCATATGGCTACTAGGCCAAGGAATTAAGGTCTGAAAAGTTCAGAATTCTGTTCTGGAATGGCATGCATTCAATGTCAGCCTGTAGTATGGTGCCTAATAGGTACTCAGTGCTCAATCAATATTTGTTGAATAAGTGAACCAATGTCCTGATGATCTTGGTAGTGTTGGAAGACAGTGAAAGTCAACAGTGTTGCTTTTGAGGATCAATGAAGATATGAAGCTGGAGGTCAGGGTCAGTAAGGCCAAAGGTCAATGACTTGAAATCTGAAGGTTGAAGAAGGAGGTGTCCTTAGAGGTCAGAAGGTCAGTGTCCTGAGAAGAAGGAGGTGAGGGTCCTCATGAACCAGGAGGTTAGTGTCCAGGGTGCCAGGACTGGGCCTCGGTTACCTGAGCAGTGAGTGGAGGTAATGAAGAGTTGTGTTCAGCATGTCTCGGGAGGGTGGGGGCTCCTCAGGAGGGCACGGTGGGGTAATGGTCAGCAGAGCTCGCCCACTCTGGTCCACCCCTCCTGAAGACACAAAACGGCCAGGCTGTCCTGGCTGGGAGCAGTCCAAGCCTACCTCCCTTCCACCCTGCCTCCCCGAGTCCCCAAGCCCACCCAATTGCTTCTCTTTCCCAGCCCTTTTTCCCTTCACCCACTGATGCCCACTGACCTGTCAGGATGAAGAATCCAGATGCCATCAAGTCCCAAGCCACATCAGGGTCATCAGAGATGGAGACCGGAAGGGCCTCTTCTGGAATGCTGTCCGCTTTTCCTTCCTGCACAGTCTCCAGCAGAGGTGTTGGAGTGTCAGACAGGAGGCCTTCTGGGCCTTCGTGTCCTGCACAGACACAGACAGAAAAATGGAACTGAAGTTAAGATGGTTCTGGTTGTTCTGCTCCCAGCGTAACCCTGCTCCTCATCCTGCCCCCTCCCATAGGCCCGACCTGCTTTGGCCCTTTCCCCATGAACCTCACTCAGTGTCATCTCACCTGCCATACACACGAGGCCTGGCCCCTCCTGCTCTCTCTCTCTGGCACCCTCTTCTGTAGGCCCACAGGCTTCAGAGGGCTGAGGCTCTTTCTCGCCTGCTGTTTTGAACTCTTTGGGCTCAGAGTCTGGCTTCCCTGAGTCTTCATATTCCTCCTTAACCAGGCTGCATTCTGGAAGCTTGTGCTCACTTGGTGAGGGCAGATTGCCAAGGGCTTCTTGGTGGCTGGCCTCTTCCTTATCCCCAGGGCTCAGTGGGGCACTGTCCCCTCCTCGGCTAAGAGCCCCTCTGCCTGCAGCTCGCTTCTTTCTTCTGTTTCCTTTGCCTGTTCTCCGAGGGGTACCAGGTGGTCCTTCAGCTCCCTGGCCTCCTCCTCCTCCTCTAAGCTCCCCGGGCCTCAGGGGGCAAGATTCAGAGGCTTCTCCCACGGCCTCTGCTGGGGGCTCAGACACCTCTAAGACTGCTGCCTCTGGGACAGCCTCAGCTCCTGGGGGAGACTCAGGGGAGGCTCCAGTGCTGCTCCCCTCGCCGGGTGGGCGTGCTCCATCCTGGTCCCGAGGTCCCAGGCCCTTCTGGTGCACCCACGCCCGGTGTCTCCGGTGGCGGCCCTTCCCTCCAGCACCCTTGCGAGTGGGTACTGTCCGTACTCTGGAGGGGCCCGGGGAGCCTTCAGCATCTGCTGGGCTCCCCCTCACAGGCAGCGTCACCTCCAACAGCTCCACGTACTCGCCCTCAGGTCCTTCCACAGGGGCATTGTGCCCATCCCCAGGACTGCGGGTACCCAGCGCCTCCTCAGGAAGTGGAGGGCTGGGAAGCCCTGGAGGTCCAGAGGGCAGTTCTGGGGGCAGCGTACTTGGCTGATGTCCGACCATGAGGCCCTCTTTGTGCACAAATCGTGGGCAGATGAGCTCAGCCCAGGGCAGCCGCTGAATCCCTGAGGGCGCAGACAGTAGGCAGGTACTGAGGCGACCTGTTGGCCGGTCCTTGTTGATGCCTTGTAGCCACTCAGGTGTGAATAGGTAGGCACAGGCCTCATTGGGCACAGGAATCTCCTGCACCCGTCCACCCCCAGGGGCCAGACACTTGAGTGCTAGTCGTGGTGCCTGGGCAGCTGAGGGCACCACTTGCAGATAGAAGTCTCCTGGGCGCAGCAGTTGCCACGGTAGGGCTGCTAGCTGCACCACCACCTGTTCATGCAGGCAGAGCGGCCACCCCTCATGGAAGAAGAGGAATCCACTGTACTGGGCCTGGGGAGAGAGATGGGAGGCTGCACTCAGGCCTCTGCTGAAGAAGCCAGCAGAAGAGGGCGGTTAGAATGGGCCCACCCTAGGCAGGACCAGCCCTATGCCTGGAAGATTACACTCTCAGGAGAGCAGGAGGGGAGATTTGGGGTATTCAGGTGGCAGAGAGGAAGGGATTGCGACCGATCGGTCTCCTGGTGGTAGGAAGCTTCTCTAGGAAGCTAGTTCCCTGTGTGGGAGGGTAAGAACTGAATCATTACCAAGACGTGGTCAGCAGATGCCATTGTCTTGGAGAAGTTAAAGACTCTTAGAAGTCTTTATATCTGTAGAAATGAAGGATCTCTGTTGACTCATGTACGGGGGAGTTAGTATCTTGAGAAATTCATATGAGGGGGTGAAAATGTCTGGAATTGGGTCTGGAGAGTTAGGGTCTTTGGGGGTCAGTGTTTCTCAGGGGTCAAGATGAATTTGGGGAAGATGAATGTGTGCATGTGTGTGTTAGTGTCTGAATGGTCAGTGCCTGTGAAGGTCAAAGTTTGTGGGAGGTCAGAGAACGAGGCTTAAGTGACTCTGGAGAGATCAGTATTAGGGGAGGCTGTATCTCCAGGTTAGTGGGGGAATTAGTCAGCCTGGCTAGTCTGTAGAGTGTGGCAGTGGATCTTGGGGAAGGCAGAATAGTGATGCACGGCCACTCACACAGGCTTCCTGCTGGACCTTGGCAAGCAGGTGCTTGGCTGGTACCAGGAAGTCCAGCGTGTACCTCAGTGCGTCCTCCCGATAAGTCCTCTCCACCACCTGGAACACCTGGCCCAACAGGGTAGGGGCTGTTGCCTCAAAGGGTGGATACAGGGCGGCGAGAGTGCTCTGCACACAGTCCTCCACTGGCTCAGGCTCCTGTAGAGATAGGACCAGGCTACAGATCCCTAGAGATCACCCAATCGCGGCTCCTTGGGAGCTGCACTGGTCTGGGGGTGGCTGTGTTCTCCAAGGCCCCCATTGTACAATGTGTGCAAAAAGTGGGCACTCAGGAAATGCTGGCTGATGAGCCCAGAATGGGAGTGGGGCTGGGCCGGAGTGCACAAGCGTGGCAGGGCACTCAACACTCAAGTTCTGAGACCTTGGCTTTGGAGATCCAGAGAGAATTTGTTGTGAATGCCCCCAATCAGGGCTGTTCCGGGTGCTCGTGAGTTGGGGTGACTGCATAGACCTTTCCTAGGAGAGAAAAGACAGGCTTTTGGGCTATCAGGGGACTGAGCTTATGGCTGAGAACTTGAGGGGGTGAGCCATCCTGCAAATCCCTTCTCATAAGACACACCATCCAGAGCTCCCCATCTTAAGTGGAGGTGCATCACCCACAATTATGTCCTAGAGATGATCATTTGGTGAAAGAGAGATGGTCATTTGGTGAAAAGAGGAGGATGGAAAGACTGTCTGTGACTGTCTTGGGTCTTTCTAGCATCCCTCTTCCCTCTCCCACAGTGGCTCTGAAGCAATCACCCAATCCTAGAGCATGTGGGATTGGGTTACAAAGAACCGGGTGGGGGCAGTTGAAAGAGAAAAAAGTCACAAAAGGAACTTGTGGGAAGGGAGGAGGAGGCCTTGATGGTATGCATTAGAGCTGGTCTTTTCTGATTCCAGTGGGACCTCTCTCTGCCAACCTCCACTAGGAGTCTCAAAAAGACTCAGCCCTGCTTCATCCAGACTCCCCTCCCTAAGTGAGTCAATGAGACATCTTCCTCCATCCCACAACCTAAACAACCACCCCTTGGGCTATTCCTTTGCAAACTTCTCTTTCAAGACAGTCTTTGAAGTTCCTTTTACTGGAATTTTTTTTTTCTTTTTTTTTGCAGTAAATGGGGAAGGGGAGACTCAATGCAGCCTTTACCTTGGTCTCTACCTGCCCTACCCCCATGTCTTGCCTTTGCCATAAAACAAAATAGCTTATTTTTCTCTGAGCTCCTCCATCCAGTTTGTCTCGACCGTCTGGGAAGTTAGGGCAACCACTCCAGAGACCGGGACATTCAGCGCGTCAGCGCGCAGACCCGGCCCCAAGGTGTGTGGGCGAGCAGACAGACCCCCAGTGTTCCGGGACCAGGCGGACGCAGTGCGCGTGGGTGGGGGGAAGGTGGAGATGGCCGGGGGTGAGGCAGAGTGGGGCCGTCTGCTCCAAGGCCGGGAGTGCGGAGCTAGGGCTTGAGCAGCTAGGCAGCTGCAACCCATTAGGGGCGGTGAGCTCATGGCTGAGCGAGAGTCTCAGCCACAGGAAACAGCAGCGGCAGGAGGGGAGGAGGGGTCTGGGGAGGGAGGCGGCGGGCGGGAGCACGGAGACCCAGCCTCCTGCCGGCGGGGACCAGAGAGGAGACCAGAGAGACTGAGTCAGCTCTCCCTGGCCCAGTTCCTCTTTCTTTTTCCTCCAGCCTCCCTGCCAGAGGGTGCCCTTCCCTCCGTAGAGGGGCGGCCCCAGTAGTGCCCCTGCCCCTCCTCCACTCCCTGCGGTGAGCTCCCCCTGGCAAGGCCTCTCCCCCTCCTTCACTCTGCAGGGAGCGCCCCCTTGGCCATGCCCCCGCCCTCTTTGCAGTGGGCGCTCTCTCTGGCAGTGCCCACTCTTGCAGCGATGCTTCAGAGTACTCTGCAGTGAAAGTTCCCAGGGCAGTGTTCACTCCTATTGGTGTGGGCTTCTTCTTAGCGGTACCCTCCAGCTTCCAGCGCCCCAAGTTGCTTCTGCCAGGGTCCCCTACTCCCTGCAGGGCGCTCCGGCTCATGTTCCCCACTCTCTGCCGCAGGAGTGCCCTGAGGCAGCCCTTCAGTTCCCTGCAGCAAGAGCTCTGGGGCACTTCCCTCCCCCACAAACTCCGGTCGGCTCTGGCAGTGTCACGCCCCCTGGTTCTGTGAGCTCCCCCCAAGCACCCCCAACTACCCTGAGGCAGCCCTTTTTCTCTGCGGGAATTTCCCTCTTTGGCCATGCCCCTGGCCCCGTCCCAGCCACAGCTGTGGCCGGTCCCCCAGGGCCGGATGGGTGGGCCTGCCTCACCGGGTTGGGGACAGGGATGGAAAATGGTGGTTCCATGCAGGTCAGTTCTCATGACCCGAGGGGCCGGGCCTCTTCCAGGGACGCTGCAGGACCAACCCGCAGGGGTCTCCCGCGGGTAAGGAGCTGGGACCAGGAGGGGGAGGGTAGCTCCAGGAAAGAAAGGCACAGGTCAGGACAGAGGAGGGCGGGGAGCGGGGAGGTGTGTGGATTAGGGGAGAGACCCAAGGGAGGATGGGGAAGGAGGCGGAGGAGAGGAGGAAGAAAGGGTGAGGGCAATACTCGGTGGGGACAGAGCTAAACAGTCGGGCAGAGGAACAGACAAATCGAAGAAGGGGGGAAGGGAGGGAGGAGAGTCCCAGGAGCGCTGAACAGTCCGAGGCAGGATCGGGAGGCACCAGGCTGGGGACTGGGGGCCCGGAGCGGGCTGCGCGAAGGCCGAGGGGACCCAGGGGG